GAGGGACAGACGTGACGTAGTGAATATGCCGTGAGCTGATTATCGAGCCTTCATTGTGGTATGTACTATTGCACATTTAAGATACATTCATTTTCATACGGTGTTGATATGGGTCCAGTTCTTTTAATTTGTTCTTTCAAATAGTGTCATAAAGGGCTTATTTCAAAGAGAAAGAAAAAAAGACATCCATATGAATTAGCACATGTTTTTGGTCAAATGGAAAACTTGACTGTAGCATCACCATCAATCAGAATCAGATTTAGAATACCTTATTTATCCTGTAGGAAATTGGGTTTTCTGACAGATGCTCCATTTTAGAACAAAATAAATAAAAGCTATAAATATATAATACAAATAATATAGCTTAAAATCAAAACTAAGGGTATGAATGTTAAAAAATATATTAAAAAAAATATATAAAATATAGAACTTCTTATGTATAAATATAAGAAGTTATTGTATAATGTCCAATACAATATTAAATAATATAGCATAATTGTTATATTGAAATATCATTGGCAAATACACCAAACACAAAAAAATATATAATTGTAGCACTTTGAAAACTAATACACTACCACTAAGGCTTATTTATTGTATTTATTTGAGGCAAATATATCTGCATTTTTCTTGTTATAGGGTTTTACCTTGCTACCTTCACACAGAAAATAAATTAAATGAAATGTAGTTATGTGGCAGCTGTTTAAAATGTCTCTGGTGTTGTGCGATGTAAATGATGCACACTATTGAAACATGCTGTTGTATAACCATGTAAGAGCAATTAGGGTTGACTGAAATCGAGGATTAAAGGTCACATGGAGTGATTTGACTGAAGTGCTAAAAGTTGAAATGAGAGAACATCTTACCTCAATCAATTGTTGAGTGCTATCTTCACAATACATTGTGTTCCTCACTATAGTGCACTTAAGCCTTTCTAAGATGTCAGTAACATAAAATAACACCGCTTCTCTTGAAAAGCAATCAAACTTCAACACTTCTACCTTTTACTCCTGGGAGACCAATTTTCCTGCGCTTGCTTGGTTCAAAAACACTTATTGGAGCTGAGTTGTGTAAAACACGACGTCCACAAAAGGACATTAAATGAATGGCAGAAGAACACCTTTCTCTTTGACATAACAGCTCCATGTAATAATATCTGTCATATAGGGCAGCAAACGACACACCTTTTAAAACTCAAGGTTTTCTGATTAACTTGAAATATGTCCTTGCATGAAAGCGCTGACACATTCATCATGGTATTTCGACGGCGTGTTATTCTGCGCTGTGATAAAGTACTTTCTCCCACCAGCAAAGAATAACCTTCACCTCCTTATTGCATGCCACGCTGGTGATACATAACACAATCAGACAAGAGGATCATGAATTAATTTTGCGACCTGCGGGGCATTGGCATATGCAGCAGGTGCATCGATTTAACGTCCGTTGTCTCCACACCAACACATATGCACTGTAAAGATGAGTCTGCGCACACGTTACATTAAACTGTTTGGGCAGGAATATGAAGGTGAATGTCAGATATTAAAGCTGGTCTGAGTGTACAGACTTACTCATGAGTCGGAAACATGATGCTTTTTGAACACAAAGGAAATGACACTCTATTAAACGGAGCTATAAAAGGTTCATTTGTTCCATGGCATTTAAAGGGCACTTTTTATTGGTTTTCGGTTGGACAAAAAGGACAGGCATAACACCTATTAGTGGTTGCTTTTATCTAAATTGAATAGACCTCCATGAGTAGGTTTAACTTTTTTCCCGTGCTAGGAGTTGACTTTGGATTATTGGCCAAAGTCAACACTAGAATGAAAGAGGTCCAAATTCAAACAACATCATTATTCTAAGCAGGTTTTGACGATGCACTGTAGTGAGTGCACAATGAAAGCGTTTTGAAACATAGTTCCTGTTTTGTTTATATCACACACACACACACACACACACACACACACACACACACACACACACACACACACACACACACACACACACACACACACACACACACACTTGAACACTCAGTTGAGCTTGCGACTACACATACTCATTGACAAATAAATGCGATTTATGTTCTTTAGCACAAAAGCTTAGAAATGAGCCCACATAAGACAAAGAAGAAGGCAGGGAGAAAATGAAGATACATGTTAATGCAGTATTTAAAATTGGCATATGTATTTTGAAGATGGACCTTTACAATATTAATAATATATTATTTGGCAAAAACAATGAGGATACTAAAAAAGACTTGATTTATGCTAAATTGACATTATTTTTGCCATGTGAACAAATCTGATCCTTACACAAATGCTGGAAAAAGGAAGAACTTTAAAATTAATTTGGTCTCAGTTTAAAGTACACCACATGACAATTTTATCAATAATTAATAATAATAATTCATTGCATTTTTATTAGAACGCTATTCCAGGTGCTCAAATTGTATCAATTTGGTCCAATACCGTTCAGTGAGGAGTTATTTTTATTCATACCTTAATGTTATTAAAATTAATCTTTGATACTACATGCAAAAACAGTATAATAAAAATATATAATGTATTACAAAAGATCTGTATTTGGCATGAAATTGGAACAAATCTGTATTCAAAAGAGATTTGAAATGAGATTGCTGTAAACAAATGAAGCCATTATTGAGAGTATTATTTAGCCTTGAGCTCCATTGTTGTCAAATGCATGCCACACTTTTCTTGCCCGCCTTATTAAGACTAATTAATTTGATATTTAACTAAAAAACTACAGCAGTCCTATATTTTTCAGTGATTGAATATTTGTTCACTTTCCCTCCTACAGTACAATATAATGTTGACTTGCACTTTAAATTGTTTGTGCAGCTAGACTTTTTCATGAAAGATGGCTAACAGCCACTGTCATTTGAACATGTCATCACTACTGTAGCTCACAGATAACAGATCTCAAGTGCCAACATATTTTCACACATTGCAATTTGACCCATCCTGTGTAGCGGGGCCTTTATCATCAGTTACAGTTTAACTCTACAAACAGCACACACACTTTGACTCTACTATCGGTTAGTCAGATCTTCTCCTGTTTCTTACACATCATTGCATGGCCTCGGACAGGAATGTTCTTGTAAAGGTCACACTCCAATGTGAGGAACATTCTGTCTTTCTGACTGGGGTACTTTTTCTCTCCCACCCTGCTGTTTTACTGAAACCCCAATGAGTATTGTGTTCCAAACTCTTTGGTTGGTTGACCCTTTTACAGCTCTTGAACAGGTCACAGACACAAAGAGTTTCTCTGTGACAGTAAGACCTCTGTGTCCTTAGCTCGGGGTCAATGCTCAGTCTTTGGGTACAGGCAACATAATATATAAGCAAAGGAAAAGGAAAAGAACATTAAAAACAACATTATGTAAATAATAAAAACTTGGGAGATTGTTAAGGAAATATAAACTGGAAAACATGACCAAAAAAAATGTATTCCAGCTTCCTACTTTTTATCCTTATCTAATGTAAGCTTAACTGCCAATTGGTCTGTTTATCAGAAAAAAAGCTTTTTTAAGAGACAGCACACTCACTCTCTTTGGAACTCAGTTATGATCAGTGATCAGGAACCACAATCAGAACACAAACACAGACAGGGATGAGTGCAGCGAGGGCAAATGGAAAACAATTGATTGGCTGAGTACAAAAAAAATCCAGCAACAACTTCACAAGAATATAATAGTAAATGCTACAGAACGTGAGCGAGTCTATTAGAGAAGCTAAAGTGACTATCAGACGGTGAGTGGGTGAAGAACCAAGGTTGATTTTCTGAAGAGATAATGAGCTGATGGCTGAGAGGTGTGAAAGCTGAGGAAGCTGAGGAGCTGATTGTGGGCAGTTGTGTAGTTGGACTGGCAGCCATGAACCAGGAAAGGAACAGGAGACTGGAGACACAAGACACACTGGTAACCCTCTAAACAAAATGAGCTCTAGTACTTGAACTGGTTCCTTACAGGGTTCTTGGAACCTTGGTGTTATCATGCCAACCAGCCTGCACTTCCACCAGTTTTGCCAGTGACGCATCATAAAGATGCGTCATTGACAAAGTGTGTTCCACAATGCAGAACAGAAGAACAGTAGTTGAAAATTGGTGGATTGCATTGGTTACCTGCCAGCCTCTACTCGGTTTTTAAAGATGTTTGTTTTTATCAAAGAAAGCGAAACTATTAATGTGCAAGACTCTAATCTCTTTATTCGAACTGCAGATTATGACAAGCCCACTGATATTGTCATAGTATACACATAAGGTCAAGGAGAAACTATTTTTGGCTTCAAGCTTGGAACCAATCTTCATGTTCTGAACCAATTTCATTTTTGGTTGAAATGCTTAAAAGAATAATAGAATATAATATAATCCTTTATTGTCATTATACAGGTATGAAATGGGTTAGGGTTAGGGTTAGCTCAATTTTTTAAGGTGCCATAAAAAATACAAAAACAACCCATTTCATACCTGTATAATGACAATAAAGGATTATATTATATTCTANTTTTGCTTTAAATTGAATTTTAAAATAGTTAAATAACTTCACAATTTAAAAAGGTTTGCAACAAGCTTTTGCTTCAAAACGGAAAATTTTTTTACCTTTGTTCTTCAACTTCGCGGCCTTGAAATTATTAAACTTTTTTTGGCTGAGTTATTTTAGTGAAAAAAAGACTTATTGGGATACAACTTTTTCCTTTTTTCCTTTATTGTTTAATTTTTGACAGAAGTCAGGGCGAACAGTTTTTTTCACTTTAAATTGGTACGTTAAAAAAACCACCAGCGTTTAAAAGAAAAAAAAGAAAAGAAAATCATGGGTTAAGGACTTCAAAGAATTTGATTATGTGTGGCACCGATTACCTTGGCTTTTGGCCCCGACGTAGAATGCCGAGCCGAATCTAATTTTAGGCCTAAATTGTAAGAGAATGTATTGGTTTGCTTTGGAAACAAAATACCCTAAAAACCGAAAGGTATAACGCAACATGCTTGGGTAGCTAACTTTTGGCTTAGGCCCACAAACTTATTTTTGTACATTTTCATTTTTTGCCGTGTTAGAAAGTGGACGGCTTTTTTTTTTTTTCAAACAGTCACAATTAGTTAGGAAGGGTTTTTTTTTAAAAGCTTTTACCATGGCTTTATAAATTGGTTCCCATTGTTTTTCATGGCCATTTCTTTACTTGAATCCATTATTTCCATGTTAAATTGGTTCTTACTAGAATAAATTATTTAATTGGTGGGCGAATTTTCGAGAAAAAAAAAAATTTCAACATTGGTTTTTTTTCTCAATACAGCATCCTCTTTTTGGTATAAGTTTTAACGGTTTTGAAAACTTTTGGGCCCCCATTTTTTTTTTTTTTCCCCACCCCCCCCAGAAAAAAAAGGGGGGGGGTTTAATTTTTCCACCTTTTTCCTCTTTGTTTTTTTTTTTTTTTTTCCCCCCTAAAAAAACAAAACCCCGGGGGGGGTCGGGCTTTGGTTGGGAGGGGCCTTTTTTGCCTGGGCCCCCCCCCCGCCTTTTTTTCCCCAGGGTTTGGGGAAAAGCCCAAAAGTTGTTTTTTGCCTCCTTTGGGGGAAAATTTTTGGGGGTCGGGGGGGGGGAAAACACGTTTGCCGGGGGGGGAGGGGGCCTTTTGGGGTTGCCTTTTGCCCCCCTCGGCCGCTTTTTTTGGCTTTGCGGGAAAAGGGGGGAAGCGGGGGGACAAAGGTTTTTTAAAAAGGGGTTTTTTTTTTTTTCCGGGGGTTCGACGGAATTTTTTACCAGCGAGAACAAGCCGAAACTATCCTGAGGCCCCACAAACCTCACAGCGAAGTTAAGAAAAACAATACGTTGTGGTTGATATTGAGTAAGAAAAAGTTTTAACGCTGTTGAGAATGGGTTGGCGGAGCATGGCTCAAATTTATCCCAAACTCGGATCTATTCCAGCGTTCAGGGAGCTTCTCGTAGGCTCTATGCAAGTCACTGGGACTCCCTGTTAGTTAGCCAAGAGATCCTGGTGTGTGAGGTGCTCCGGATTGGTCCATTTGGGCCAATCCGGTCATTTGTTGTTGATTTGGGTGTTCACACGTCAAAGTGCCCAGGAAGCAAACAATTGAAAATGAGAAATCTCCAACGAGGCGTTCTGGGGCAGCATAGACAGGTATTTTCTGTTTTAGAGTTTTACTCGCTACAGGGTGTACTTTGAGGGTTTTTGATTCTGCAGACCGTTTACATGCAGAAAAACCTTCATAACACACAAGGGGACGGGAAATAACTGGAAAAGCATGACATGGGCCCTTTAATATGCATCATCGCAGTTGATCTTTTGGATATAGTTAAGGGTAAACATGTGTATGCATTCACCTTGCCCCTTTTGAACATGACGGAAACTATTTGAGAATTTTTTTTTTTTTTATACCTTAAAAGATTAAAAATATATATATATTTTGCTTCTCTTTGTTATTATTATTATTAATTATTATTATTATTAGTTTTGTTTCTAACATGTTCAATAAATTGACTAATGAAAAGACCTACTACGGTCGAGTCCCGGATCCAGTACAAAACACCCCCCTTCTCTGAATCTGTGGTGCTCTGCTTTCGAGTCCCCACTCTCGCCTCCGATCTGTTGGAGACATGGCGTTCAGTGTTGCAGCCCCCACCCTCTGGAACGTTCTTTCCGCTGAGTTCTGCAATGCTGCCTCCCTGGACATTTTCATTGCCTCCCTGGACATCACTAAAAACTCACCTGGTCACCATGGCCTTTGACCCCTAACCCATCACAGTCCCCCTGCTGCCACTCCGACTGCAATTATTTTGTTTTACTTTGATTGTTTTTTTTTGTTGTCTGTCCTTACCATATGTAAAGCAGCCTTGGGTCCCTTGAAAGGCGCTATATAAATTAAATATATTATTATTATTATTATTATTATTACTACCATTTTAGGCTATATAATATTTTTATTAATAGAATTTCCAATATAAAATAGCCATTATTTAAGTAATAATTTCCTTTCCTGAACCACCAATTGTTTTCTTTATGCGCCATTGGTATATACTGTATACACCCTACATCTAATTTATCTAAACAAGGTGACTGTCTTGAATCTGAAGGCCACAAGACTCTACTACAATTATGCATCTTTTCAAGTTTGCTCCCCCACTTTAAAACATAACCTTGCGCCCATGGCAGCACCAAAATAAACACTTAGGGAGAAAAGATATAGCCAGTCAAAGTCTGTAAACAGTAAAAGGTCCAGTAAATGAACCGCAGGCCGTGACACACTTTGCAATCACTGGCCACTCTGTCACAGCTTGCCCACTTCCTGTTTCCCAGGCAGTACAGGGACATTTCCACTCCTGTCAGGTTTCAGATACACTCCTGATTTTCCCCTAGCTCAAAGTGAAGCCTTCCTGCAAGAACTTTTTTTTGGTCCCCAGTGATTCACATCACGTCATGTCTTCCTTCTTTGCCTTCCTTTCTGTCTTCTACACATTACTGTACTTCAGCCCTGGCTCCCCATGTTTCACTTCTGAGGACCTTTTGCATAATTATCACCCTCAGGTCTTGGAGTTTCAGAATCAGGGCAATGTCCTTCTGAGCAAGAGTTTCATGTTCTTCTAAATTCTGCATCTTTTATTGTGTAAGATTGTTGTAATAGTACGTTTTTGTCTCTCTTGTCTGACTTTCTTTTCGTGGTGATTCTTATCATTTGGAAATCCATCCTTTTGGGGTTTGAAAGGGAAATGTAAAAGTTAGATATTACTTGTACTTTATTTCTATTGTACAAACTCCATTCAGATTGCCTTTAATTGAAAATATGTAACTTCAAATTGTATTTGCCTCAACAATGTAGAGCACTGAACAGCACTGACAGCAGAGTTGGACTGGAGCGATGTTAGAAACCAAAATAATGTACAAGCTGATGACAGGCTCATGCTTGAATTGACTTGGTACAGTAACATGATTGCAACCATGGTGGCAAATGAATCAATTGCAGTGGACTGTTTGGGTTTGTCAACCAAGACATGTTCAACCACAGAAGCTGTGACAAGTTGATTCATGTTTTGCCAACAGCATATTAGAGTCTTTGCATCCCACCATGGTAAGTATACAGTGGGGTATTGGGTTATGTGGTCCAACACACAGATATACAATCATTTATCAAAACATATTGCGGTTTTAAGTCCAGACATTCCAGTCTTTGCAATGTGGAAGTCTTCATAATGACATCACATTTGAAACGACAATGATGAGGCATTTTACTCTGAAAAAAGAGTAGTCCAGAGGTAAAATGCTTAAGTAAATCTCTTGAACCCCAAGCCAAGTCAAACCATCAGAAGAATGGTTGGTCAAGTATGCAGTACGAACACATAAAAAACATAATCACATTATGCAACAATCTTGATAGATCACAGGGACAAACTCTTGCCGCAATGCGGGATCACTTCTAATGAAGACATACACCACCCAATGCCAAAAACATAAGGTGTTTAGGTGCTAGATCGCATGCGCAATTACAGGCTATACATTGCTGCGTCAACAAAATAGACTTTGAGTGTTTTATCCTCTATTTACTGTCTGAAAGTAAGGAACTCAAAGGCTGTGATCAGGACAGTTCAATAAAGTCTGGGCATTCCTTGGGACTTGCCTATAGCAGAGGTCAGAGAGCTGTAGCTGACTCACCCCAATAACTCTGATGACCACAGACAAGCAGACTCTGGTTCCCAAGCCCAGCCACAAACAGAAGGAAAGAACAGTGAAGAATGACTTCTAACCTTGTCAGAAGAAACTCATGTGAACCCAAACATGAGTTTGGGTTCACCCAAACAAAGATAGATAGATAGATATATAGATAGATGGATAGATAGATTTTTGGTTATGTCATGCTATATTATCCATCCACAACAACATTTTGTGATAAACATTTTCAGATGTAAGTCCAAAGAGTACATCATTTTCCACAGGTAAAATGAAGAAGTGGTTACTTCTTTCTACACTCTTTAAAACTTTCAGACCAAACTTTGTGATTCTTGGAACATTGGAAATACTAACAAAGATGATTCTTATTAGGTTTTTATTTAGTTAGTGTCAGATTTAAGTGGGTGTAAGTAGGTTCTTTGCCTGTTGGGAAAGGGGCTTAAAACATGTAGCCGTAATGGATTTACTACAAGGCAACAATTAGCTTAGCAGATATTGGGATTCACTTCAATCACCCTCGTTAGGAACTAAATTAGTATTCAATTGCAACTTCTGATTAAACACAATGTGTCCTAACAGCTGCCGGAGGATGTCTTACACCAGCTACAAACTCACTATCTGTTTTCTCTGCTAAGTCTTTGAGTAACCACACTCTACTGAAGGGTGACCATGATTAAAAGGCTACCGTTGTAGCGTCTGAAGACAAGTGACTTTGACTTAATACCACTGGGCAAAGATACATGTCCAAGGACTCTCTAGAGCAACGGAATAATAATAATTCAGAAACAATTCTCTATCGGAGCTGTGAAGGTGGAAGAGGTGCTACAGCTCCTTTTTCAATCGCTTGTCATATACTGTCCATTGTTTCCCAAAGAGTTTTGACTGCTTTCCAGTAACAACCTCAATATTTAATTCAAACAGTTTTTCTACTTTTAAGAAGGGCTCGGATGATTGTGTAAGAGCCTTGTTTGTTCAAGAAAAAAAATATTCATTTTCATTTTAGTCTCCTTCCCAGAAAGATGAGATTTTAGAACAGTATATTGCAAACTAACAATGTTCACACAACAATTTGTGTGAAGCCATCCATTTTCTTATCTCTTCACTAGCTCAATTGTTTTTTTAATGTATTTTCTTACAGCTTTTTTCTTCAGTATACAGTATTTTATCAAATTATGAAATGTTTTCTTTGTTTCTGCCTCTAAAAGTGCTGACACAATCTTTGCCAGGAATCCTCTTGAAACAAAGATGATGTGACGTTAGCTGACATTCTGTAGCTAACGCCGGTCACTCACCAAGATAGCTGCCCAGTTCTCCACTGGTTCTCCTCACACCACAGCTCAATTTCTCTCCGATGGCCGTTATTTCTTCTAATCCTTGGCTGCTCCTGGTCTCTTGGACGCCTAGCAGGCTCATAATTATAAGGTTGTGGTCCGTCATATGCATTCGAATATTCATGTTCAACTTCTTCTGTGTCGAAACTAGCATTGGGATCCATGTTTATTAATACGTTACACCGGCCGCTCTCCCCCTTGTTTCCCCTTTGTTACGTCACACGAGGCAGGTCACGTGGGGAGGCTTTTTTGANGTTTGTGTGGGCTCAGGATGAGTTTCGCTTGTTCTCGCTGTATCGTCGACCCGGAAACCTGTCCGCTCCTCGCAGCAGCGGCGAGCAGCAACAAGCCTCGCAACGTCCCGACCAATCAGAGCACACTGGGCTCACTGGGAGGGGGGGCAGGAGCTCCAACAAGCCGTTTAGGACAGAGAGTGAATACCTGGTGAATGCACATACGTACTATACAGAGATGCTGTATGAGAAACCAATGTGATTTTTCGAAAATTGCACAATTTAAATATATTCTAGTAGACCTCAACAATGGAAATATGATCAGTAGAAATGGCCATGACATGGGACCATTAATAGCCATGTAAAGCTTTACTTACTAATTTGTGAGCGTCCAACCTCTACAGCAAAATGATGTACAATAAGTGTGCTAGCAAAGTTAGCTAATGTTGCTATATTGGTTAGGTGTTTCAGCAACAATACATTTCTTAATTTAGCTAATTAGATTGGCTGGATAGTGGGCCAAGCAGGTAATGTCAACATATTCAAATCTTTAAGTCTACCATTTTTTTTAAACCTGGGTTAGGGTTAAATTAGTGAAAAACTGTGCCTGACTTTGTCCAAATAACATAAGGAAAAGGAAAGTTGTATCAATAAGTTCAATAACTCAGCAAAAAAGTTATATTTCAGCCCAAGGTTGAAGACAAGGTAAAATCGTGAGCAGCTGTGCACTTAAATGTGATATTTACTATTTATTCATTAAGCAACAGACACAATAATTAATTGATTATTTTCTTAGTTGCTAAACATTTTTCTGCCTCTCTCTTTCCTAGATGACAAGAGCCCGTGCCACCTACCCGAGGCTCCTGGTCCCTGTCGAGGACTCCTGACGCGATACTTCTTCGACAGCATGAGTCAGCAGTGCAAGCATTTATTTTACGGCGGCTGCTTTGGCAATGCCAACAACTTCAGAAGCATGGCGGACTGCCAGGCCAAATGTCAGAACCCAGGTAAGCCAGATTGAACTTTTAATCATTTTACAGTAAAGGCGGGCAAACAGCCAAGCTGTCCAAACACCCACATTATTAGGTTCTATTTCGAAACAATAATTACATCTGGACAGGTATTGTGTCCAGCAGCTGTGAATGCTCCAAAGACATTGTCATGTGATGGGAAATTGACTGTATCTCAAAAGAGGAAAAATAAAGTGTTACTCTAAGGCCTAATAAGAACCAAAGTGTCTACACCTAAACCTTATAAGTAAGCTGTGACAAAAAATATTTTTATTTTGCTGGCATTACCTTAAAGGCATGCAAGGTTTAGTTTATAACTCTGGGTTCACAACAAGCCAAACTCATTTCGTATTGGTGACATGATTGAAATAGTTGTCTGAAAATTAACTTTTGAATGAGTCTTAGCTGACCATGAAATCACATCCCACCTTGATTTAGTATTTGAATCGTTTTAAATTGGCCAAGGCACACTCAATTATTCCACACTTAGGCACAACTTCAAAGTAATTTAGATATTGAAATAGTCGCAGAAAATAACGAGTAATTTGCTCGAGTGTGACCAATTCTGCAAACAGCCCATGTATTGAAAATCGATTGAAAAAGCTTTTTTCTTTAGATAAGAAGATAACAATTTCAGATTGATGCCTCTGTCTGTTTTTTTAGTATTTTATATGTGTTTGCAGAACACCCTTTCCAGTCTGACACTGATGAGATTAATCTTGCTTTAATGATGATTGATCGTCCGGATTTAATTAAATCTGTTCTAAATATAGGCATGAATTACTTTGATTCATGTTTCATATATAGCTGTTGAGACAGATATTCTTTGATGTTACTTTTTCTATTTCTTTTCGTCAATATAGCAGAACCCACTGAGCCACCAGAAGGCCACATAATGTCTGCGAGAAGATCTGACATTGTGCAGCCGACCAGGATAACTGGTAGGACTGAATGTACACCACACTAGTAAAAGTGTTGATACTTGTTGTTCTTGTCTAAAACACAGAATTAAACTAGTAAAATATCATTTTCAGAATCAGAAACAGAATACCTTTATTAGTCCCACAGAGGGGAGATTTGCAGCGTTACAGCAGGAAAGAGCCACAGACAGCTTAGTGTTGCATATCTTAAATGCGTTAAAAAAGTACTAAGTTATAATATAATAAACAAACAACACAACAATATGCTAAAAAAGTACTAAGTTATAATATAATAAACAATAAACAATATCCTAAAAAAAGTTACATAATTCTCAAAAATACAGATCAAAAACAAATCAAATCTACAAATCAAATCCTGTAGCAGTTCTTAGGATTTAGCAGCCCGGTATATATTACAGTTATTAAAGATCCATATGTATATAAAGTATATATTGCACATAAAGCACATATTGCACATAGTTTGACGGTATTTAACAGCAGCAATTTACACAATCTACAAAATACAAGATAAATACCTTGTAACAGTAAAGGGTTTAGTAGCCAGGTATAAATTACACAGTTATTAATGGCATATATATATTGCACATATAGCACATATTGCACAAAGTTGGTTTGTATTTAGCAGCAAGGGGTGATATAGTCTGTAATTTTCAATATCTTTCTAAGAATTTGTTATCAGATCAACTTCTTTCAATCAAAAACTTGTTTGTGTGTTCAAGTAAATCAATCAAACACATTTAAAAAAGTGTAGTTTTGCAATCATGTGTAATTTGAATTATCTGCTTTCATTACAATTACTCTTACATACTAAATGTATCTGCATTGTTGTTGTTGATCTGAGTTTGTATCTTTATGGTTTATTCTAAATATTGTAAGTTGCTTTGGATAAAAGCATCAGCTCAATGAAATGTAAAGCATTGTAAAAGAGCGATACCAAGTATGTCTCTGTGGATGGAGTATGGATCTCATGCCAGCAGCCAATTAGAATAGCTTAGCATAAAGACTGGCAAGGGATACCAGATGTCTTGTTGGAGAATCAAACAACAGCTTGACAGGCAAAACTTTGCATGTAGTTGAAGCGAGATTGAAATTGCCATGAAACATGGTAGGGTTGCTACATTGAAGTGTTGGGCAGATGGCTAAACAGTTTTTTTTTGTCTGCATGCAGTCTTCATGCTAAGCTAACTATTATGACTAACAACAGATCCCCTGACATATGACTTTGTTTCTCAGGGGAATCAACTGTAGCTGAACCTCAGGTGCAAGCAAATGTCACTAATCCAGAGCCGAAAGGTAAGAAATAATATATATCAACATAACAAAAAACACACACACAGCTGGTGCATGCGCTACTAGCTACAGCTAATGTCTGTACAGTTGGTACATTAGCAGTGTTTAGCAATTAGGACTGCAAAACAATCCTGCATTAGCTTTAAGGAAAACATTATTGCTGCTTTCTATCGGAACACAAAAGATTATTCAGTGATTTCCACCAGGTGTGCTTCTCTCTCACCTCCCAAACAAAGAAGAGTTGAATTGCACACAATTGTCCAGTCAAGATGGCGGCAGAGATAGCCAAAACAGGGATTTATTCATCTTGTATCTTGCCTGAATGTGGTGTATCATAACTTTGTATGGAATTAATCTGCAGGCGCTTATGTTCGAAATGAGATTACCTGTCTTCCGGGGATAATGCACAAAAGGAAATAATTCAATCAGATATAAGCGTACTGGGACGGGACGGAGTGGCACAGTGGGCTGTGCGTTGATGATCAGATCAAGGGTGGCGTTGGGGAACTCCAGTTCGAAACCCGACCCCGCCGCCACTGCGTCAGGCCGTTGTGTCTTTGGGCAAGACACTTCACCTGAATTTGCTCCTGTGGGTATTGTCCACAGTACATGACCGTTACATGTGTGTAATGTGTATTTGTAAAGCGCTTTGAGCACCTGGAAAAGCGCTATAATAAATGTAAGGAATTATTATTATTAATTACACTGAGTTGCTGATAACAGTTTTTAAATCCATTCACCTTGAAGATTTCTGAAAATATTTAAGAGGAGATGTCCTTTTTCTGTCTCATCACATTAATGTAGACAGCGAGGAAGAAAGCCAGAAGCAGTACATGCAGTGATAATTCATAACAGAAGTCCCAGAGCAGCAGACATTTTGGATACATGAACTGTTGTTAAGCATAATCAAATCTATCATCCTGTCTTCAGAGTGGCAACCAGTCCATACTGAATTTCTCAGTTATGTTTATAACTCTAATTAAGCTCCAGTTCTTTTAATTAACCATTGTGTCTTGCCAATAACTTCACTGTAATAAAATAATAACTCCAGTTGCAGTGATGCATAGATGGTAGACAGCTTGCAAAATTACTTCCGCAGTGCGAGGCAAAGGGCAACATCGAAATGCATACTGTAGCTTCTCCTTCCTACAATTTGTTACGTATTCCCACTTATCATTTTTTTGGTGAATTAGTAGCAAGAGAATATATATCATCGTTCAGGGCTATTTTGTACCCAACAAGAGAGCACTCACCTGGACTGCTTCCCTGAACTCATTCAAGAGAGTTATAATTTTTAAGAATCCAATTTCCTTCTTTTCAGGAAATATAGTGAGGGGAAGATTCAGGATAAGTTCGCCTCAGTGCTGCCTCCGCCACCAGTCTATGTTCTTTATTTCCGCCATGAGATCTCCAGCACAATAATATATTTCAGAAACAATGCTGGCATCAAAGTAAAACACCTCAAGAACTTACATTTTATAGATTTAGAGGATATATTTTTAACAATTCATATCAGTCATCAATATCAGATGATTTTTTTACTGCTGAAATTAAATTGGGGCATTTAAAATTTGAAGGCATTAGATAATTGTCATAAACAGTATCTTGAGTATGATGGTGGTCTGCCAAGCATATATTCTTTGTTGAAATAAAATACTGACATCTTGTGGTTATACGATGATGTACATTCTCAGTGCCATTGGGAAAAGCTGTATTTTAGAGCTGCGTGACTATAGATCATAATTGCATAACAAGCTAAAGCAGCGTTAAGGATTTGATACCGCTACCACAACTATCAATTTTCATCTGGCCCTTTCTTAGAATAAACGTTTTTCAACATTGTGCAGTTTTGAATTTGGTTGAATTCTTAATGGTTTTTCAGTTAAATGATATTCAAAAAATGTATTCAAGCTTGTGAAATTCTTGCTGGCTGAAAAAAATTAATTGAATGTTTTTTGACAAAAAAATTTTTAAGGAACATAATAAATCAAATACCAACTGAAAGCCTGAAATAAACCTCCATTGGCTTTTCAAATTCCAATGTGATGTTTCATTTCAAACAACCAAAGTGGATTTATGGTTTATCAAAATATGTGTTTTTCTCGGTCTTGGGATTGGGGTTAGGGTTAGAGCAAAACAAGTTAACAGCCCCATTTATGTTCATTATACAAAAACTTTGGTAAATTATATTTTAATAAGCTTTCCAGTTTCTCCCTCAGATATCATGGTGGTGATTGTTGTGTTATTGAAGTAGAGAGGATTTTTTCTTGTATAACATTCTTAAATAATTATAATCAATAATACTAATAATATCAATATTGTTGGATAGTTAAGATCATTAGGTGAAATAGATGCAAGTTGATCCCAACAAATTAGTAATACATTTAGGCCCCGTTTACATGGATACGGTTCGGGTTGTATCTGCTACTTTCCTCTTTCGTATAGCCCGTTCGTTCACACGAGGCCGTAAGGGAACCACGGAAATGGACCCCTAAAACGATAACGGGTCCCAAGGTGGATAGATCTGCGGATGGAACGCTTTGGGGGGCTAAACGGCTCCGAGTGTACGTCCTATATGATCATTTTCCTGATAACGATGAAGCCAAAGCCCCGCCTCTCCCCACCTCTGCTGCTCACTGCTGTAGCATGGTCAGTAGCTACTGCTACTGACCATGCTACAGATGTTATTGTAAAAATATACAGCTCCTCTATCACAACCATTAGCAACAAGTGGACATGGAGAACTACATGAACTACATGTTGCTAAATCCACCGCGGAGAATAAACAGAAGGGCAACCAGGCAACCATGGTAACCATGCTCGGGGGGTCTTCTTCGCTACTTTTGGTGTATTTTGTGGTGGAAGTACAGCGCCACTTACAGGCCCGGCATATGTACTAATGCGTCTCCAGCGGGTCGAGCGGTCTCGTGTGAACGGACACGTTTATTGAGCAGATTGCGTGTGAACGGAAGACTTTTTTGATATCGAATTTGGTTCATCTTTGTTTGCGTTCCCGTGTAAATGGGGCCTTAGTATAGGGCCTTAGCAGTAGTGTTTTCCTATGTAAATATGTGTCCTGCAGTTGTGGAAAAGAGCACTCGTTGCTGCTAACAAGCTGTGCCTCACCAGGAAGCCAGCTAGAGAATAAATCAAAGAGGATAGCTAACACAAACCTGTGGGAAGCCATCATAACAACTCTCTTTTTCCAATCTTTCAATTTTAGTCTGAGAGCCTCCAGACAAAAATATATTCCAAAGCCAGACTGAAGCTTATGGTGAGGAGATGAGCCTGTGTGGAGTTAAAAGCTAAGAAAATGTAGATGAAAAGAAACATGAGTCTTCTTTAGGTGCTCCGCCTCCTTCATGACTCTTTTGTAAAGATGGAATGGATCCAAGAGATCCAAGTAAATCATGATATAACATTTCATAGACTAATGCAGTGTCTGTTTGGCCATTTCCCTGGCCTCTGGTATTGCTGCAGGCGATTTCTAGAGAACCACTCATCTAAACAACTTCACACTTGACACAGGGCTTCCTTGGGTATGTAATAGAGTGGTGTAGGCCGACCCGTAAATTAGCATTGCAAGGGCTCCTTTGACAAACAAGCAATGGGAATATTCGATTCTGGAATATTGCTGAAAATAATCTCTATGATACGTACACATTTTGTTTAGCAGGATAGTCTCCCGATTTAACACAACTTTTATGATTCTGGAAGCATAAATGCTTTTGAAGCCTGGTTTATTTGATTATTTAGTGGGAATGCTGTTAACAGCATTCCAACTAACTGTTATTCTACGCATGAAAAGTTTATTATTCCGCCGGTAATTTGGCCCTCTTCTCCTCCCGCATTGAACATCGCAGAAACTCCGTTCAAACATCAAAACGTTCAGCTTGGTCGGGAATCGATGGCTAGTACTTTTCTCATTCATAACTTTCATAATTCCAGAGATACATCCCATAATACATCCCATTTTTAACATTGAAGTCAATGGAAACATCTTCAGACTTCAACAAATCTTCATGTAATTCAACTGCTAACTGTTCATTCATACTTTCACTCAGACACCTCATTCTAACTTTAAAATGTTACACATCTTTCTGACATTATTCGTGTAAAACAACTTTTAAATCTGATTCTTACTTTTAGAGATATTAAACATTGTTCATACCTTGGTAAAGAGGCCTTCAGATTTTAGTGTGCGTGATGTCACAGCTAGAGAGGAGGACAGCTTGAAATTCGCATTCATATATATTCTTTTAACTGCCTTAATTCCAAACCCTACATTCTGAAACATAATTTATCATGAAAAACGTAGGAAAACCATCTCGTAGCTTGAAATGACAAATAATAAGCCAAATAATTAAACAAAATTCTTTTGAGGCATGAAGTGAACAAAACGTTCAACATTCCTCCATATAAACCCATTGTAATTTCAGACAGATATCCACGGAAAACTGCCAAAAGCGCCACATTATTAACCAAATACCAAAAATTCACCTCAGGGATACTCAACTTCTTGACATGCTTCACGTTTTGAAATTTCACAGATTCGTTTACGGTTCTTACACAAAAAGTTCACATGTAAGAGGTTATCTCTCATTCAGAACAATGAAGCCTTTGATCTCTACAGGCTCGTTAGCTCATTCTATAAAAGATCCACGCTGTGTAATCGGAACACGATGATGTCATGCACGCCATCTGACATGGCTGCAGAGCAGGCAGATTCAGATAGCAGTGTGCAAGCGGTCCAGACCGTGAAGACATCTACGGCATTGGTTGCCAACCTTTTTTTTACGCCAGGGCACCCTGAAAATATTTCTCCGACCGCAAGGCACTCACTTTTTGAGATTTAAAAAACGCACTAAAGAGGGGCTTAAACCTAAAAACGCGATTAAATAACATCCATAAATTGGTTTTCAAATGTGTATTTCATTGAATACGAACATTTTATAAACAAATAAGTTCAAAATGTCAACACATCTCTATGATGAATTCAATTATGTATAAACAGGCCTACTAAGTAGGGGCTCTGTTTGCTGAAAAATAGTAGGCCTACCTGTGTAAAACAGCAATAGCATATCAATACAAGTATATTTTACATTGGATTTCAAAAGAGGCAGGCCTATGATCAGCTTAGATAAATAGAATAAACTTAATAGATTGAGGGATGAACAATGCGCCTCTGACCTGACGTGTGGTCATGTGCATCATAACCACACTCCCAAATATGAAGCATTCGGCATTCGCTATCCAGCATACATACCTGATTGACTAAAATCATAAATCATAGCATTTATAAGAAGCATGCACAAAATTCATCATCCAAACATAAACATTCTCAGAGCCGGTTACACACGGTGCTATGTGCGAGCACTTGTGCCTGCTTTTGTGAGCGAGTCTCTGATGCGTAGGGATAGTGACAGGCGCAACGCGGAGGTCCTGCTCCAGCTGACAGCCGGGTCGCAGGGTCTTGTTTTTTGACATATGCGGTTAGGAAAACGCAGCTCGCACAAGTAGGAGTGGAAACTGTAAAAGCACCTTCGATGCACTCTCTGAGGAGGGATGGATACTCGTGTCCCACAAGCAGGCGCAAAATATATCCGACGTAGTCCCGTGCTTCAGTTTCAGGGAGGGGCGATCATAGATATAGCTCTCGAGTTCATCCTGAGCTCTGCGTTTAAACCTTGTGGTGATATTAATGTATTTTTAGACTCTTTGCACTCGCTGTTCCATCATCGAACTGTCATCCCTGCCTGTGTTGTTGAGCTAGGGCGTGCTTCTTTAAGTTATGTCACTATAAACATCGCATCTGAAATCATTGGCGCCAAGGATAAAAAATAGCTGCTCTGCACCGTAAACAATGACGACTGGACGTAAATACTGAGTTTTAAGCCTGTTTACAATATTTCTAAATCTGAGCAAATAATGGTTTTCTATTAGCCTTATAACTCCATTGTATCATGTACCATAAAATAAAGTGCTGATAGAAAGTGAAGTTTCATAACGTGAGAAAAAATGTGAGACAAAAATACGTTTTTTTGGGCGCACACTTGANTCCACAAAACGTTCACATGTAAGAGGTTTATCTCTCATTCAGAACAATGGAAACCTGTGATCTCTGCATACCTCGTTAGTTCAAATATAAACACCTGTGTCATGGAACACGATGATGTCATCGCTCCAACTGACATGCTCAGAGCAGCAGACTTCAGATAAAGGTTAAAGGTCCTCCCCTCAACATCTCTACGCCAATTATGGGGTGTCATCGTCATATGACGAAGGTCAAGAGAAGAGAGAGAGAAGAGAGAGAGAGGAGAGAGAGAAGAATGAGAGTAATGTAATAAAACACGGTTTTCTCATAACTTCAGTGAAAATACTCCAAACAGCCCAAAACTTCAAAGGTTTGGTAACAATGCAGCCATCAACGCATCTAAGCGTATTATGGGGTGTAATCAAATGCCGTTGCCATGGCGACAGACCACTCGCCATGAAACATGCTGTCACTGTAAGTCCAATGGACACGGTCCAATCGTCCCCCAATCTTCATTTGTATATCACCGGTCCATGCCTCAACAGCTCTACGCCAAATCTGAGATCTCACCATATGCCGTTTCCATGGAAACGCATCCCTCGCCATAAAACATGATGTCGCTATAACTCCTATGCAAATATTCAAAAAGTGCTCAAACTTCACAAGTGTGCTAACAGTCCAGCCGTGAAGACATCTACGGGACAGTTTTAAGATTTCTTCAAATGCCGTTGCCATGGCAACACAATGCTCGCCTTGAAACACGGTTTTCTCATAACTTCAGTGAAAATACTCCAAACAGCCCAGAACTTCACAGATTTGGTAACGATGCAGCCATCAACGCATCTAAGCGTATTATGGGGTTGTCATCAAATACCGTTGTCATGGCGACAGACAACTCGCCATGAAACAGGATGTCACTGTAAGTCCAATCGACACGGTCCAATCGTCCCCCAATCTTCACTTGTATCACCGGTCCATGCCTCAACAGCTCTACGCCAAATCTGGGATCTCACCATATGCCGTTTCCATGGAAACGCATCCCTCNTCTTCTCTCATCACACATTCAAGCCCCCAGTGTTCATGTATCATTTCAATCTAAATTATTCACTTTTTTCCTTACACATTACATTTCAACATAGCAGTTTAGCGTCAGATTTTCAGCAAAAAGCATTCCCACTCGCAATTTCTTCAGGAATTGAATTCTCTAGTTTATTTTGTCATCCTTTTTTTCTTGGTTAGTTTATATATAGAATATGGCACATTTCAAATACAAAGGCAATTCAAAGTGTTTTACATTATCATTAGCACACAAGAAAACTTTAATAAAACAAAATGAAAAGAAGACAATAAATAAAGGCATTAAGGGTAGTTAAAATGGTCATTGTCAATACAGATAATGCTGCAAGAGGTGCAGAAGTATAATGTGAAAATGATGTTAATTATCTCTGGAAAAAGCACTGGTAGGTAGAAATGTTTTTAGACATGATTTAAAAAGACATCTGAGTCTGGATTGTATTCCAGACCTGCAGAGCATAACAACTTGAAGCTTCTTCTGAGGTTAGAAAAGGGTTAGGGTTAGGATTAGTTTATGCAGTCCTAATTTCAATATATGAACTTTTCTTTCTCTCACTCCTGATTTACAGAAGTGAAGCCTACAGACCTGTGCCTTAGTCCGGTGGAAAGGGGAACATGTGATGGGGCGGAGAAGAGGTTTGCCTTCAACTCTAAGACCAATAGATGCCACGCATTCCACTACAGCGGCTGCGAGGGGAACGAGAACAACTTCCAGTCCCGGAAAGACTGTATCATCAAGTGCATTAAACGCAGAAAGGGTAAGGTTATTTCATGTATTAGCATTTTCAAAATGCATTTTATAAAAACTGAATTGGAGTTAATTATTATTAAAGAAATGATTCAATTGTAGAATATTCTTTTTGTAAGTCTTTTAGTTCAAAACAACAAAAACAAAATAAAGTTTTACACTATCATACATATTTCACTAAAGATAAAAAAAAAATGTATGTGGTAATTATTCTAGATTTGTTGATCAATTGTTTGGTCTTTAAAATATCAGAAACCATTTTACAATGTACATCCCAGTTTCTCAAAGTTAATGTTTTTAAAGGGCTTGATCTTTAAGTCCAAACTAAGACATATTACTTTTGTTAGGATATTAATCAGATTAGCTTCTTCAAGAAAATCTTTGTTAAAGAATCATGGAATTAATACGATATATTTTCGTTCTGTTGCAGCTCATGGGAGGGGGACGATTCGGATAAGGAAGAAAAACCTGAACAGCATCGTGAATCGCTCAGTCTGAACACTTGGCTCTGAATTAGATCCTGCAACACTGTGGAGCCACCTGTATTTATGTCCATTATGTTAAGTCTAGCTTTACTCATATCTATTGTTTTCTATGGGTGCAGTACTTGTATAAAAGTCATGTATTGTACCGAATTCCCTCGTCGAGTTTGAATGCAATTATAATCTTTATTTACTTTGTTTTAATCTTGACAAGGACACATTTGTCTTGCTGATCTCAACACTGATGCTGTGTGTATCAATGCTTGTTTTTAAACGTTATATTGTGTCATTTTGATTTTAAAATTTCAGGGCTCTACAATACGGAAATCCTAGTAGGAAAAACAATTCTGGAGATAAATGTTTAAGTCTGATCTAGATTGTTGTCTCAACTGTGTCTGTGACATTAGAACAGGTGGCGGAAAAAAAGTGAAGTGAAGTGCATTCATGTTTTCTGAGTTTCAACTTCCCCATGCACTATTTAACGCAACGAATATACAGTCCTATTTAAATTTTATATTGCAAAATGTTTTTGCCTGTCAATGTTTTTCTCCTTTCTTCTGTCACAAACGCAGAAGGAAAATCTGTTTAATTAAGACTTAGAGAGTTGATGACCAATTTGTTTTGCCTCTCCGGTCTTCCATGCTGTTATAATCATACTGATATCTTTTTTTGTGGGAAACGCCAAAGTTTAAGCATTATTCTCGTTCAATAACATGAATGCTTATTCTGCTTACATTATGTATTGTGTGTGCATAGTGCGTGATGTTTGTGTTCAAGGGTATTGCTATTGTTAATCAATTTGAACAGCAGCATTAGCAGATTAAACTGCTGGCTATCCGTATTCTAGGATCAACCACAACAGGATATGGAATGATGTCAGGCACACAGATTCATCAAGATGTCCTCACAGCTATAAATCGTTGTGAACAAGGCAATGACTGCTTTATTTTGGTCGGAATTAACATGAACTCTTTTTTCTTTTTAATCAATATTATGCAGTTTTGTAAATCACTGTGGCTCTCCTGCTGGTGTTGTTGGTAAGAAAAAACAGAAGGGGGCGGTGTTGTGTAAAGTACGTTTTCAAAGAGGTTTTCAGCACTGTCACTTTATTATATATCTTTTTATTATAATGGCTGTAATGAAATGTAAGAGTGTATATATATATATATATATATATATATATATATATTATATATATATATATATATATATATATATATATATATATATATTAAAGTTCAACTATCTTTCGTCCGGAATTATCTGCTTTATTTCCAGTATTTTGTTACCAATTTGAGTGTCTTAGCTTCTAATATTCTGAATTAATACTTAACTTCAAAAAAACTAAAACAAAATACATGTTTTCATTGTTATTTCATGTGCATTTTAAAAACGGCAGGACCCTGAGAATTTAAAAATAAGGCAGCAAGCTCAATGGAACTGCTGCTATACGTTTAGGACATAATTTGGCGGCGAACTGAGAACAAATGTAAAAGTAGTAGTAAAGATTGTTTGTTCAAAGAGAGTGTTAATTCAAAGAAACATACATTTCATTTAGTTTCTTTTATTTTCAGGGAATAAATATAAGCCGTACAAAATAATGAAAGTAAAAAGGTAAATATGTAACAAGTTCATGCTTCAGCCTAAACTTTTGAAATCAGCATATGTTTGCAATGACATTAACATGTGCCTAAAAAAACATTTTGATAATCGATTAATCTCCTGATTATTTTCCAGATAAATCCATGAATTGTTTGGTCTGTAACATTTCAGAATAAAGTGGAAATTGCCAATATAGTTTCTATCATATATTCAGTTTAATATGATGTAAACCAACAAAACAGATAAAACAGGGAAATCTCCAGAATTTATAGGGTGAAAAAAGCATTTTCTGTCATGTTTATCTATTCTCAAAATAGACTAAATCTAGTTGTATACATTGAAAATGAAAGAAGTTAACAAAACAAAAGCTTTACAATAGCGTTCAAATGTAACAACAATATTATTTTCATTATTATCATCGATTAATCTCCAAATTATTTTCTAGATTAACAGATTGATTGTTTGGTCTGTCAAATGTCAGAAAATGCCTATTCTAGTTTTTCAGTCTAAAATTATGTATTGGTTTGTCAGTCCATACAATTAAACCACAAAACAGATACAAGAAGGTCATCCTCAGAATTGATCAATTGAAAAACAGCATTTTCCGTCATTATTTTGCAGGAAAAATTGATTCCCAAAATCTTTAGCATTAACTAACGATAATTCGACTAATCGTTGCCGCTCTAATGTGACATAACCATTACAATCGACACATTGTATCTGGAGGCTGACCCTCCAGTGTGTGGAGTGTGGGAGCTCCTCAGCTGTACTCGCCGTGATGTAACAGGAAGTAGTGGGTTGCATCCCGACGTCAACCTGACAGCCGCCTCAGCTGCTCACTGAGATCCACCGTGTTCGCTGCTCTGCACCGCAGCCGAGGACCGGAGCCACTTTACGAGATTGCCTTGCGACTTTACCCAGGTCTGACCCCCTGCGCTGCGGCTGGATCTGACTCTCCGGTAGGACGAGCTGGGTGTGAAATGTTTGCAATACGCTGTTTTATTTTTCCACGTTTTCTGAGCCATTGAGCAACAGTAAACGTCGAGCAGAATAAACAGCGGGGTTGACAATGCGTGTTGTTCATCGCTGTGTGTTTATCCAGGTCATGTCAACTGTTTATGCATATTTGCAGAGTCAGGCAATACGATGCAATGTCCTTAATCCATCGTAGCAGCAGCATGAGCATTCACAACTGCATGGTGCTTCTGTGAGGAGCTGAATGAGAAACATATGGCTGCGATATAGTAGAAAAGACAGCAGCGTTGTGTGGGGTTTGGTCACCATATGTCCATCCAAGCACTTTGTGCATGGTCATGTACTGTAGCCTATATCATAGCATAACATATTCGGATTATCATTTATTTGCTTTACAGAGGTTTTATTCATGATGTGTAAGCAGTGTGCGAAATACGGGGGGCCCCCCTGAAAGCCTCAACAGCAACATTTAGGGGGGGTCTGAAATTATAATATGTATTTGTCACTTGCAATGGTCACTAAAATGTTTTTAAGCCTACTATGTCCAGTATTAATAATTCAAAACATTTATTCACAAATAACTTCTATTTTGGTTGTCAAAAGCAGAGCCAGCCGCGTGACACGGGTACGCTGCGTGACGCGGACACAAATTATGCAAATTAGCCATGCCCGGCAAAGAGGAGAGAAGGACGTTACATTAGAGGACTCAAATGTCTAAGAGAAAGCTAAACCAAAGTGTTTCACTCGCGCACTTTGGGTTCACATCCAAAAAAGTGACACCACGAGATGACCAAGAGACACCCAGAGATGATGCTGATGACGCAGCAGCTAGCACAGCACTCGCTACCAGAACCGTTAGCGAGTCGGGGGCTCCTGTCCCGCCCAGTCACTCCCCAGAAGGAGGTGAAGTTGAAGCAGAGCGCTCAGAAGACGCAGCAGTTGCGGAGGTAGCTGCTACTGCTGCTAGTGACTTTCCGCCGGGTGGTTGGACAACGAAGCAGGTGGGCGAATGGAAAGACCGCAACCTTTGGCTTGACATTAAGGCTGGAAAGTTAGGATGCTTAGTGTGTAGGAAAGCAAAAACGTTGCTACTCTCAGAAAAGGGACCGGGTTTACATCTCTCGGAAGAATGGATCAATGGTGATGTTACTAGCCCTGATGCAAAACAGCTACGAAAGAAGATATACAAACACAGGGACAGCCAGGCCCACACAAGTTCAGTGGAAATAGTACAGATGAAAGACAAAGAAACCCTCCCAAACTGTTTCATTGATGTACAGTCCGATTTACTCAAGAAAACAACAGTCTCGTTTAGAACAGCTTACACCGTAGCAAAGGAAAGGCTATCTTATAAAAAGCTCAACCCCCTCATGACAATGCAGGAGCTGAATGGAGCCGAAGTTGGGAATATCCACAAATCTGACCATGCATGCGCAGAAATAATAAGTCACATTGCAAAGGAAATGCGCCGCAAGTTCGTCTCTAATGTGAAATAAATGGATTCAAAGGTATCAATCACAATTGATGAAAGTACCGTTCACGGTCGTCCCTATCTAATCATTTACGTAAGATGTGATGTCAGTGGTAAGGGGGATGTAGATAATGTTTTCCTGGATATAGTGGAACTCACAGATGGGGTCGATGCTGAATCAATTTATAACTCGATGATGGCGAGTCTATATAAAGCTGGAATGGATGATGACTTTTTGAAGACGCACCTAATAAGCATAGCCACCGATGGGGCTGCAGTGCTCACGGGAAAAGCCAGTGGGCTTGTCGTCAGACTCAAAAACAATTTTCCGAACGTGCAGTCTGTACACTGCCTGGCGCACAGACTAGAACTGTCAGTCAAAGATGCTCTTAAAGATGTGGGTGGCACTAATCACTTTGAGATATTTATTTCACATTTATACTCACTCTACAATCAGTCAACCAGGAATTCCAGATTGCTGAAAGAAGCAGCGGCCGAGCTCAACATGGAAATACTGAAAATAGGTCAAATTTTCACTATCAGATGGGTTGCCAGCAGCTTTAAAACAGTAAAAGCTGTATGGAAAGATTTCCCCGCACTAGGACTCCATTTTAAAACATCCAGTGAGAACGCATCACGTAATGATCTTGAGAGGCAAAAATACAAGGGACTTCTCAAGCACCTAACCAACTCAGGATTCGTGGAAGATTTGGCTGTCATGAAAGACATCCTGCGTGAACTCCAGAGCCTGTCTCTCAAGTTGCAGAGAAGATAAATGACACTTGTGGACTCAAGTGTCCACATCAAAAAAACCATCAATGTTTTGACCGCCATGAAGACGACTGGGGGGAGATCAGCGAAGAAGGCTGAACAGGGCGTCTCATCGGGCTTTTTTAAGGACGTAGAGCTGACAGAAGGCAGGGGAAAAATAAACAAGCTTCGTTTTTATGAAACGGTCGTTGCTACTCTAACCAAGCGCTTACCGGAGTCAAGCTTGGTCCAGACGCTCAAAGCTCTTGATAAGCGCTTTTGGCCAGGAGAGCGGGAAGACTTGACTTTGTATGGCGAACAAGAAGTACACCGTCTGGCTAAATCGCTCGGAGAACCAGCCGGGGACGCCGTGGGGCAGTTTAGAGACTGGAAATTGCAGGGCACTCCACCGGGCAAAACACTGGAACGGCTATGCATAGCAAGTCGCACTTACCTCCCCACGTCTGCTGAGTGCGAAAGAGGCTTTTCCGCCGTGAATAACACCGACAACCAGAGCCGCAACAGGTTGCACGAGGAGAGCCTGTCTTCGCTTCTGTTTGGGGACCTAAACGGACCCCCTTTGGACAAATTCGACCCAGTGCCGTTCGTGAAAAGCTGGATTAAAGCAGGACATCGTCTCTCTTCTTCTTGGAAACCAGGACGGCAGCGAGAAGAAGTCGAGTGTGTGTGTGTGTGTGTGTGTGTGTGTGTGTGTGTGTGTGTGTGTGTGTGTGTGTGTGTGTGTGTGTGTGTGTGTGTGTGTG